TCCTCCTCCTCTGTTGCTAGGGATCCATGTTTGTTTTTCAGGCAAACTGCTGCATGTGGAGATAAAGACTTCTGCTTGCTACCAGAGGTCACAAGCTTTCAGCTTCTACCTTTCTAGTAGTTCATCTCATCTTCCTTCTCTAGCACTGCCTCTGGCAGTCCTTCCTCTGCAGTCCTAGAGGTCTTCTCCAGTATCAAATCAATTAAGTCCTCTTGGTGGCCCATGCTTCAGAGCCTTGCCACCTCCTCCTGTAGCCCTCTTACCTGCTCCCTGAGGGACAGCACCAGGAGGCACTGCTCCCATTGCAAGCACTCCCCCAGCTGGCTGTCACTGGAGAGAACCTGCAAGCTGCAGTCTCCACGTCACCAAACCAGGACCTGGGTGGAAGCCTTGACAGTGAGCAGCCCTGCCACACCTCACAAGTGCAAGCAGAGGAACAGCTAGCAGTGGCAGTGGCTTTGGCATTGTGACATCCTCCAGCTATTTCTCTGGGTCTCTTAACTTGCTGCCTCACTCATCCTGCCCCTCTTTCCAAGAAGGCCTTCCCTAGCAAACTCCCCTGTATGCTGGCCCCTTTGCTGTTCCTTGTCCCTGCTAACCTGCTCCCTGTCCCCAAGCTTACAGTGAAAGAAGGTGAAAAGGAGTTTCCAGGCAAAATCACTAGCAAACTCTCCCTCATATTAGACTCTAGTTAAACAAGGGGCGTAAGTACTGGTCCAACTGCTCCGTTTTAGGTACTTACAGTAAACCTATGGGGGTTAGTTACTCTTAATTAAAGAAAAAAACAAAAACTTACTTTAAAGCCTCCCCTTTAAAGAGGGAGGCTGCAAACTGACTTTTGAACTGCTTGTGAGCTGACCTGATTGCTGTCCCTGTTCCCCATCTCCCTGGTCACTCAGGGAGTCTCCCTTTACACCCTCCTGGGCCTAGACTGGCTCTGCCTCCTTAGGGCTTTTGTCAGACCCGGGCATCCATCACTCAGCTAACAGCACTCCCAGCAGCTCAGAGCACACACCCAAACACACAGCCCACCAAAGAAACACTCAACAAGTCAAACATACAAGCAGCTGTGGCTCACTTACCTTCCTGGACTGCCTGGTGCCTCTTCCTCTTCCCTTCCTTTTCTTGCTCCCAGTGAACTGCTTGCAAACTGCCCTGTTCACTGCCCCAGTTGCTGCAATAATACATTGCAGCAGTGATGACACGTAGGGGGTGCACATACACCCCTTGAGAGCGCTGGTGCACCCCCTGAGAGGCCATGCTACCCACTTTGGCGACAGGTGGGGGGGCAGGTGGGAGCAACAGTGTCCCCCTGCGAGCGCCGGCCGGGGAGTGTCAGCACCTGGATAGTGCTGTGGCCACTTCTGGGAGTGCTGCAGCTGCTTCCCCCATCCATGCATTGCAGAATGCTACATGCAAATATTTGCGGATAAATTCTTCCTTTGGATATGCACTGGCACTAGGATTAGTTAAATCTGTGGGAGCTACGTAGATTAAGACATGAATAGCCCTTATAACTTTTTAAAGGCTTAAATTAAAATGTCTTATTAGAATTTCAAAGACTGGAATTTAGTGGGTTCAGATGTAAATTAAATATGGTCATTGCAATCATTATGACCCAATGTGAGAAAAGAGCATCGTATAAACATGGTGTAATTGTTCTGAAATGCTGTTTTTACTACTTTCAAGACTAAACTCAAGTCCAACCATTCAGGACCACACCTTTTAGCGAAGTTTCATTCTCAAAACATTGGCAACACTCAAGCAGAATCTGGTATCAGTGGATATTTGTAGTGGGTGCAAGGGCTCAACATCTCTTGGGGGAAAAATTATCAAGCCCAAAGGCTCTGTAATTGCCTGTTTCAATTTCTCCCACAGTTATTTAGATAGGTGGTTCTCAGTGTTCAGTCAAGCACTAAGAGGGTAAGTCAGGAATTTTTTATTTTTGTTTTTTTATTTATATTAAACTCACATAAAAGTCACCATTTTATGTAAGTCAGGAGATCTATATAAAAAGACATACTGATGTGCAAGAGAGAAACAGCATCTCATAGTCATCCCTACTTCCTAGTTACACAAGCACTGTCAATGTAAGGTGGATGCCCTGTTGAAAATACAAAAACCCATTGATAACAATTGCAAACTACAATACATCTCTGAAAACCATTTTACTTCACACTATTTACTTTTTGTGTTATTAGACTGGACAATGAAAGTAAACCGGCTGGTTTTCTCTTTCTTTTTTAGAGCCCTTTGTCCATTTTGCTCACTGTAATGAACTCATGTACTAAGAATACGCTGCTGGTTAAACTGGAGACTGCAGTGGCACATGCAAAATCCTCACACACCAGCTTTTTAATTGCAAGTTTGGTATCATCATTCATAAATTCTGGGCATTTTATGAAACTTAAAACAAGCTTTTGTCTTATTTAGAAATGTAGGCTCTCATCCAAGGCCCACTGAAATCAACAAAAAGACTCCAATTCATCACAGTAGCCTTTGGGTCAAGCCCTGAACATAAACAATTCACTAATATACTCCTTAAAAACTAGAATGAAATGATCAATCCCCTACCTATGATAATGTATCAGCCTGTTCACCCACCCCTCAAATGCCTCTTGTCTTTACCACTGGATCAGAGAGTTAAATTGTTAGCCACCATTTCCCCCAAAATCCACAAAGATGGTTCAAAACCATTCATAAGTTTAGGGCCAAATGGTGCTTAAAAAAAAAAAAAAAAGCAACATTTGTTGGCATGAGCAGTATTTGCTAATGATGGGTACTTAGCAAGATTTTGCCTTATTTTTTTCACTGATGCATTTTTTCCTTATCGAGTTGTAGACTTATCAAGGGTGCATGACTAAAAGGCCATTATGGAGAGGAAGAAGAATAATGATTAATGACACACATTCATTCAAGATAAAATTGTTAGGCTTGCCAGTGGATAAAACACCAGGGATGGAAGGGAGAAGAACTATTTTAAGCTAAAAACAACAATGTTGGCATGAAAACAAATGGGTATAAATTGGCCACCATGGATAGATTTAGGCTGGAAATTAAGGGACAGAAATTAGAAGCATGGAGTGCATGACATAGTACTTGGGATAATGGCAGGCTGGATTTATGGATTCTGCGGTCCCATCTCCCCCTTGGTCTCCATTGACTAGTCCACCAAGGCAAAACAAACCAAACTCTTTTTCCCTCCTCTCATAAGACAGGCTTCTCCATTTACCCAGACCAGACAAGTAGCCTTCTCTTACCTGTTAGTCTGAATTTATCTTCCTTGAAAGTGGATGACCAAAACTGTATAAAACTTCCCAGTACATTAATACCATCCTCTCATGACCCAGAATATCCTGCCTGATACATTCTAGGATCACACTGCCATTTTCATGGATGCATCACACTGATGGCTCATGGTTAATCACAGATGATTGTGTGGGAGCCACAGTGCATAAATTGAGTGGGACTCAATTTTCTCCCAACTCCCGATTTGGAATATTTACAACTATTAGTCACTAAAAATTGCCTGAAATATGTAAAAAAAAAGAGTAACAACAGACTTCTCCTGCTTCAAAACAGACAATCCCCACTCCTTAACATTTCCTGAAAGAGCAGCTAGTGGAAATAACACAACTTTTACTGTGTCTCATCTGAAGCCCAGGCAATGTAGAGTAAACAGTAGGAAAGACAAATCTTAACTCAAAAAATCCAGTAAAACAAGAGAACAAGACACCAACAGAAGCTGCAAAAGCAGTATCACCAAGAGCATGCAAAGCTAATTTGCAATTCAACAATGTAAATTGGGTTGACAATATAATCAGCTTGGCTGCACCCACCAACAGACCAGTATTTGGCATTACCTGATCTCTCTCTCCTCTACCTCTGTTTAGCTTGATGAAGGGGACAGGCCACTGACCAAGGAGTCAGAAGGTGTGAAATATCTTACCTCAGAGTGGCAATCTGGTCTGCATCAGGACCAAAAATAGGTAAACCTGAGCAAGTCACTTCCCCTCTATGCTTCAGGCTCTCCAGCAGTACAACAGGTATACAAGAGCTTACTCACTTTTGTAAAGCACATTGACACTGATGGTTGAAGCGCTATACAGAGTGCAGAGCACTATTCCAATTCTTAGGGTTTATCTATATAATAAGACAAGCCAGCAGCAATTTATGTTAATTGTCTGAAGCCTATGGCTGACATTCCACTTGGGATATGATTAACTAGTTAATCACATCTTGGAAGTGTAAGTCAGCCACAGAGTCAGGTGATTAATGACACAATAAAACAGGAAACCAGCCACAAAGTTATTACACAACATGTTGTGTAATAACTTTGCGGCTGGGTTCCATCATGCCTTAAATTGAATGTGTTGCCGGTGGAGTCCCCACCAGCCAACAATCAGCTTATCGCCCACACATCCAGCTCTCCCCACAGTGCTCCCAATCAGCTGATGACTGGCAGATTAGAAGCATTCTGGGGCTTAGTCACAGAGTACCTTTAATCTGCAATCATCAGCTGATTGTCAACTGGCTCTGGGGACTGTACAGGGGCTCAAACTGGCTCCATGGGTCCTTGGAACCAGTTAAACAACCAGCTGATTGCCTGGCACCTTGCTGGTGTAGGGGGAGCCCAGGATGATAATCCCACATCCCCCCTGCACTCATAAATATGGCATAATTTGGATCTGATCTCCAATCCCAAAATTGCACCTTTTACCATGCACATCTGCCATGCATGGCAGGAGGCATGATCGATCCCAATCACACCTTCAAACAAACCTTTGTCAGTGGCCTAAGGTACATAAAGGTCTAGTCCTCTAAGGCTGGGATCAGAAAAGGAGGAGAGCTCAACTCAGGGTACTGAAAATCTTCTGTCCTTACAGGCCCCTCACTGCCATGAAGTATGAAGACAAGGCAAATGAACCATATTACAGAATTCAGTGAAAAAGAGTCTTGATGGCAAGAAAAGACAGCAAACAAACCAATTACATGCAGGAATAACTTTAATAATTCACATAACTGTAAAATGCCGGTAGCTGCATAACAGGGCATATATGAAAAATTTCCTTTTATTATGAAACAAACATGTCTTTGGTAAAGAAATCACTTTCTCACCCAAAATGTACATATCCAGAAGAATCATGTGTTTGTCCCCTAGCTGTAAGAATCCCTCACCATGTCAGAGGTTCATTCTGGTCAGTATATTTTTGTTTAAATATTATTTTTCCTTGAAGAGAACATATACATATTGTAGGCAAAATATGTGTTTTGTTTCAGGCTAATGCATAATCTGAGAATATTTAAAAACCAACTATATGCTCACAGGGATAACAAAGATGAGTTTTGCTTCAATACACACTCTGGCATTTCTGTTCTGTTTTGTAAACTTTTTTTATTGTTGTTGCTCAAGGCCTAATGGTCAACATTTAATGCTGGGTTAAGTGTTTAAAAACAAAGAGGCATGCACAAAACTTTCCTCAGGCCAACAGCTGGGATGTTCCAATTGAGGTTTCAGAGAAGAGCTGAAGCTGGGACACCTTCAAGACATTTGTTCTTAGATTTCTAGCAGATGCCTATGCAAATATTCATTAAAAAAAAAAGTCCATGCTCTGATGGCATCATGCAGTGATGTGAGTCCAGGGGGAGAGGGAGAAAGAAAATCAAGGCAAATCACATAAGAGAACACTTGCCTTTCAGTTTATCCTTCTTTTTCTGCTGCTTTGATCTTTTTCCGTCAACCTGAAGACTGACAGCTCTTCTCTTCTCCAGATTCAAGAGTTCTTGGAAGAGTTCCTGTACATTGTAGTTAGTTTTTGCTGAGGTCTCCATGAAGGAACACTTCCACTTGCTGGCCAAAGCTTCCCCTTCACTGGCATCCAGCTCTCTCTGGGTTTCATCACTCTTGTTACCAACCAACATGATAGGGATCTTTTGAATATCCCCTTTGATCTGACAAATCTGATCATAGATTGGCTGAAGTTCTTCCATGGACTGTCTGCTGGTGACAGAGTACACCAAGATGAAGGCATGCCCCTTGGATATAGATAGCCTTTGCATGGCAGGGAACTGATGGCTGCCTGTGGTGTCTGTGATCTGGAGGGTGCAGATGTTTTTATCGCAGCTGATTACCTGTCGGTATGTGTCTTCGATTGTAGGGATATACGTTTCCCTGAATGTTCCCCTTACAAAACGGAGGACCAAGGAGCTTTTACCAACCCCTGCAGCCCCAAACACAACCACTCGGTAATCGTTGCTCTGCTCTGGCATAGTGTATCTTTTTCAGGGAGCCAAGCAAGGATGAAGATCTGAATTGCAAATGCCTGGGTTCCGTTAGTTTACATACCCCCACACAGAGATGGCCTGTAAGAGATGGAAAAAAGACACAGCAAAAAAGACATCATTCACAGCAATTCATTAACTACACAGCAGATGATTTCAATAGGCAATTAAATAAGACGTTTCTTACTTTCTCTCTCTTCTGTATCAGACAGAACAAGGAGTCAGAGTCCCCTGGGCATGCATCTCATATGCAGCAAGTATCATATTAAGAGTGAAAACTGTAATTCACCTGCAGCCACCAGCTCCAATATCCGGAGAAATGAGATTAAAATCACCCATCAGTGCGGAGATCAGGCAGCCTCACTCATTAAAGTTCTTCCGTCCCCAAGCAACAGACAGCCCCGCAGCCCTTGGCTCCCCTGCAGCTAGTGCAAAGGCTCTTTGGAGTCTGTACAGAGGCTCTGCTTAGCATTTGCTTTGGAATCGCCTCCTCCCAGCCACTGGGGAGCTCCGGCTGCCAGCAGCAAGCTCCCTCACTTCCCACCTTTAGCTGGATACATATCCTGGGGTTATTCATTTTCTTTCGATATAGCTTATGCATCCACCCACAGTAGGTGTCAAGGAGCAACAGGCAGCACCAACCAGCTTTCATTAACACTGTACTCTCCCTAATGTTGGATGCAAAATAATGTACCAGGCTGTAGCATTTCACTAGCTGGTATAATCAAGACTGCATACAGGCAGGAGAGTCAGGCTGCACTAGAGCTACTACAACTGGGGCTGCTCCATCGCTCCCCATTAGGAGCCTGTCAATTTTTGTACCCAAGCTCCTGCCCTGGCCAGTTGTGCCATCAGAACAGAAAAGAAGACTGTCCCCTCAAAAACTGTCCTTCACCACAGACCAGCACAACAACCTCCAAGTCCGACACCTGGACTCTCTCGGATCTAGCTAAGTTTTGGCTCCTGCCTTTCAAATCCTATTGCATAAATGGAGATCAAAAGGAGAGGAGTCCATGCACACGCATGCACAGATACACACACACCTTGAGGCACTACAAAACAACAGCTTCACCAGCACCCAGGATGATCCCTTGGACTCCACTGGACCTAGGCCAACTTAGCCCCAACTCTGTAAGTCCCACTACCCAAGGACATCCAGCTTCCACATCTAGCAGGAGTTTTCTCCTTGGGATTTATCCTGATGGGACTGTATTAACCTATAGACAAACTAAGCCTGTAGACCTATAGACATAGCCATTTAAAAGGAAAGTCCTACAGCTTTTTACCCAGTTCCCAGTAGAGCTACAAGCCCTGCCTTTTTTATTTTATTTTTTTAGAATGGGATGGAAACTGAACTAGGAACTGAATGGGCTTTGATGCTTCAGAATAGGCTGCTGTGGAAATACTACCCATAGTCTTTCGGGAGAGGAGGCACAGAGGTGAACACTGTACGTTGGACAGATCTGCATGACCCCTCCAATCAGAGGATCCTTTCCAACTCTCTGCCAGGCACCGTGTTAGGAGACAGGGAACCAGTGTTTCGGTAGTATGGTTACAGCATCTGTCGGCGTGCACCGGAGAACAGGGTGCTGGTTTGAGGCTCAGGCTCTGCCTCTGAATGGTTGAATAATTTCAGTCAAGTCTATGCTGCTCTTTATTCCTCAGTTTCCCTATGTGTAAATTGGGTCTGATGATACCGACCTCCTTGAAATACACTGAGATCTAGTAGTAGAACTGCTACATAGCACTAGTCTTACAGATCTGCAAAATGGGCATTTCTACCTTTTTGGCCACCCTGTTGCACCAGGATAGGTAGGGATCCAGATTATTCTGGTGATGAAAAGGAGGTTGCACACCGTAAACAGTAAGATTAGGGAAACAGGCACCTATATGTTCTAGTATTAGCCAGAGACAGAGGCCAAGTCAGAGATGGTGCCGGCTTTCTTGGACTAGGGCAGATCAAGGGGAGGGGGAGGGGGAGGGGGGTGCAGTGGTACATTTGATTCCTGGTCCTTCCAAACCTTGCCTGGGAGGGACAGCATCCCTTCTACTCGGGCAGTCTGAGCGAGTCAGCTGACTTCATGGCTCATCACCACGTCCCCGATTCATGTCCATCGCCCTCCACTCCACAGGTGTGAACCACCCTCTCTCTTTTTGAACAGTCCCGATGCTCCTCTATCAAATTAGCCTTTATTCTGCAATGCTGTCGTCTTAACTAGGACACCGGCGGCAGGAAGAACAGCCCTGCAGACTGCTGTTACCTCGATCTGAGCTGGGATATGGCCCTCCCCGGTGCAGCAGTGACTGGCGGGGTCCCGGGGGCACCGCCGGGCTGCTCCAGGCGGCTGAAGACGAGCCGGGCATCCAGGCAGGCGGAGCGCGGGGCTCGGCT